CATACAAGTGATTTCTCCAAGATCACTTGTACAAAACAAGCGGCGGCTTCCCCGCTGTGCATTTAGCCCTGCTTCCCCAAAGCAGGGCTAATTTTAAATAACAACTACCCGCCCCGCACCCGGAACTGCATGTCCCGGGCGTCGGGAGATAGAAATTCCACACCCCTGCTGCCCCTCTACCCCCTGCTACCCCGAGGCCGGGCCTCGGTTGGCCTTGTGGGAAATCCAGCCCTGAGTATGGAGAAGGGAACAATCTAGGACAACATAGCTGAACTGGAAAGTGAGCTGAATTGGAGAAATTTTCAAAATCAGCGATTTTGGCCTAGATTGGTCACTTCTCCTGCCTTCTCCAAACTCTTCACCCTTTTGTTAATAACCCTGTAAGACTTTGAACACAGTTTTTGATGCACCTGAAATGCATTTAGCTGATTTAAGCTGAAAGTTCAATTGGGCTTAAAATGAAAAGAAGACAAATGAAGCAATAACAGATCAATTGTACGCTGGCCACAATTACTTTGTGTGTGGCCACCTGCAGGCTCAGCGTTTCCCACAATCTTTCACTTGAAGATGGTTTGACACAACAGAGAGCTTATTTGCTCCATTTTGACTAGATTTCTGCCAGGACTGGTCTTTTTTTTTTCAATGTTCAATGTTATTTATTGATTATTGATCAAACTCTCCATATACTGCAATCAATTATTTTATAATGGCCTCCATATAAAACAATTGTATGAGTGTGTGAACGGTCAGCATGATTTATCTTGTGTGGGGTTAGAACAGAATATTTTCTATATAAGCCGAAGAGATGCTTAGGTCGAAAGAAAACAAATGTTAATTAATTTAAACCTCTCACCACTCCAGCAGTTTTGGTCCAATGGATTCTATTAATGAGCCGCTGTGGGGGAATATTTTTAAGTCTGAAGTGTGGACTTGATTTTTTTCTTAATTTGTTTCTATAGAGATGATGCTTCAGCCAAGCAATGCTATGCTGTCAACCAGGGACCCTACAGGGACAGGAGGGAAGGAACTGCTAAGGAACCAGCCTGTTCATTGGTCAGCCATCTGTCATTCATATACAGAGGTGGGGATAGAGGAAGCTCAGCAACCTCCAATTTTAAGGAGCTCATATTAGTGAATATTTTGGGGACTGAACATTTCTGTGGGCAGGGCTGGATTTCCCACAAGGCCAACTAAGGCACGGCCTTGGGGCAGCAGGGAGAATAGGGGCATCAGGGGTGTGGAATTCCTATCTTCCGATGCCCAGGATGTGAAGTTCCGGGCACCGGGCGGGTAGTTGTTTTCTACATTTAGCCCTGCTTTGGGCAAGCAGAGCTAAAAGAGGTGAATGGCCAGCTTAACACTAACAGGACATTGACTTGTTTAAAACTGCATCAGAGAAATAAAATTGTTCTTTCTGCAACAGATAAATGCGTTAAATCCCATATAAGTGCCCCGTAGTTTTCTGTGGATGAGGTTAGAAACCTTTTTGATGCCCTGTGAAAACATTACCAATTTCTGTGCCTCAAAGCTGAGCTATAATTATGGATCTGCAGACATCTGGGGCCCATTTTATAAAGGTCAAGACTGTAAAAGATCGTTTCAAGACACAAAAAGCTGCGACTGTCAGAATAGGAGGACATTTTCCCATCTATAAAAGGTGCAGGGTCACTTCACATAAACCTGCCCATCAAAGAAGGTGATGGTCTCGCTGACCTCCATGATCAGCTAAAAAATGGAAGTGGGAAAAAAAATGATACATATGACGTCCTCAAAAATCCATATCTGTATAAACACCTTGAAGGTTGGGCACAAAACTGAAATATGATCTTGCCACAGGTAATATTGGTGTGCCACTGACTGAGGGATAAAGAAAATGAACTCCATGCAAACAGCTAAATACATATTTGAAATAAATACGGGAGCTGCTTAAAGAAGAACTCCGGGAAAATCAAATACCCTTATAATGAAGCTACCCCTGCACTGCAAGGGTTAAATGCTTGTTTTGTCTAAGGGGCTCAATTAAAGCAGATTTACTTACCTGATCCTCTGTTCCGCTGGCTCCCTCTGGGCTGCTGTCCCTGCAGACTCTGCTCTCTTGGCTAACATTGTTGGCAGGATGCTTAAAAAAGAACTTTTAAGTGACTTTAGAAATCGTCATGACTACATTAATTTATTACAGGTATTATATAGCACCCCCAGTCCCTGCCTTTAAAGGAGCTTGCAATCTAAGGGCCCTATCTAGATACACACTCTAGGGCCAACTAACCTGCCAGCATGTGTTTGGAGTGTGGAAGGAAACAGGAGCTCCCAGAGGAAAACCACACAAGCACAGGGAGAACATGCAAACTGCATTCATATAGTGCCCTGGCTGGGATTCAAACCGGGGGGCCCCAGTGCTGCACAGTAGAAGTGCTAACTACTAATCCACTGTGCTGCCTGTTGACTTGTCAAAATACTGTAAAAAAAGAGTCTGGAGCTCTATTCAAGTAACTTTTCCTAGTCTGACATGCCATCATCAGTCATCATCAACGCCCCTGTTGAGTCAGAGCTAGAGCTCTCCAATCAGCAGGGAACATGGGCTGATTTAAAGTAAACATTCAATTGGGCTATATAATTTTTAAAAAGTCTTAAATGAGAAGTATTGGGAGAGCAAAATGTACTTTTCCAAATACTTAGAGCCGGCGTGGGACACTGCAGGTGGTACATGTCGGCTCTATAGAACTGAGCGATCGTGAAGTGCTGATTGCTCAGCTCATGGCTCCTCCCTGCAGAGACCAGTGACTGTCAAGGATTCCCCCCTCCTCTCTCTATTCCACCAGTACTCATTGGAGGGACAGATAGGGGAGGGGGCGGGCACAGCTGGCTCTGGCTCTAGAGAGGCAGAGCCAACTGTCAATCAAGCAGCGGGGTGGATCCTGACAATATTGTCGGGATCCTTCCTGATTGTAGTGCGGTTCTGCGCTGTCAGCATATAACTGGCAATAGCCCGCTATATGCTGACTTTGTTTCACAAGAGGACCTCAGTAAATGTATTCCTGTGACCCAAAAGGAAACTAAAGCCAACATTTTACTTTAGTTTTCTTTTAGTAATCAAAGTTTTGGCAAAATGTTTTTGTTGTTCAATTGCTATATTTATAGCAAACAAAGGTATACCGGGAGTTATTCCTCGTATCCATCACTCTAGGAAATTGCTTGCCTGTGTTATAATTACCATTCATTATTTCAGTATATCAAATTTTGCTACATGTTTATTTTAGCAGCATATGCGCTAAATAAATACAACCAAGTGGATATTTGGGAGCGCACCCTTGCCTCGTTTCACTCCTCTCCTTATGCCAGTTGGACTGGAGCATTATATAGGACATTTCGTTTCCCGGATTAAGCAGCGTGGTTGTTTAGAAACAATGCACATGCTGGTAATTATTTTAAAGCACTTTAGAAATGTTGATCTGCTGATAAAATAGGAAAACTTAATGACCCGTGTGAAATCTATCCCTTCCATTAATTCCCGGCAGTTAATGGTTATGGCCCTTTCTGAAATATACTTAATTGGAAAGCAGGAAGTCTCTCTGAGCGTCAGTGTCATCGTCCTGTTGTATCCAAAGGTTAATATGTTTATCCATAAGCATCTATAAAAATCAGAAGCGGTTACGATGCTGTGTGGCCGTCCAAATGTAATCACGGCTTATGATCATCTCTGCCTGTAATAGGAGACGAGGTGAATGGCAAAATGCGTGTTCTTTATATCAGTCAAACTTAGTAGCATTAGAGTGATTTAAAGAAAAACGGATTCAAAGGAGAACTATGAGGTGAATGCTTTTCACTCACCTCATAGTTCTAGCCGACCTGTGACAATGAGA